CAAATTGTAGAGTGAGAAAGGAATGTATTTTAAAGATGTGAGATCTAAAGATAAGCCAAAATTGAATACCGAACGTGCAGACAATCAGCAGTGCAGGGCAATAACACAAAGTAAGAGTGTTTCCATAAAATATTAGACTGGATCTTGATCCGATAGGGGTAGTCCAGTGGATGTACACTTGCGTTACCAGTGAGTGAAACAGTATTCATAATTAGAGAAAGCTTGAGAAAGAAAATGATATTTTAATGATGCTGACGATGCTAAAGAAATAGCAGAAATGATACAACGTAGAGACAATCAGCAGCTGCAGGGCAATAACACAAAAGTAACAGTGTTATTCCAATAAAGTATTGACTGGATCTGATTCAATAGTGGGTAGTCCAGTGGAAGGTACACTTCATTACCAGTGGTGAAAACATTAATCATAATTTAAGTAGAAGTGAGAAAGGATCATATTTAAAGATGCTGACGCATGCTAAAGATTAGCCAGAAATGATACGAACGTAGAGACAATCCAAGCAGGGCAGGGGCAATAACACAAAAGTAAATTTAAGAGTGTTTTCCATAAATAAAATATTGACTGATCGTGAAGTCAATAGGGGTAGTCCCAGTTGAATTGCGTACACTTGCATTACCAGTGTGAAAACAGTGTAATGTCATTATTAGTTAAGAAGATGAGAAGCGAATGCATATTTAAAGATGCTGACGATGGCTAAAGCATAAGCCAGAAATGATACGAACGTAGAAAGACAATCAGCAGTGCAGGGCAATAACATAAAGTAAGAGTGTTTTCCATTAAATATTGGACGATCTGAAGTCTGATAGTGGTAGCTCCCAGTGCGATGGTACACTTGCATTTACAGTTGGTGAAAACCCAGTAATTCATAATTAGTAGAAGTTGAGAAAAGGAATAGCATAATTTTAAGATGCCGACGTACCTAAAGAATTACCAGAAATGCATACGAACGTAGAGACAATCAGGCAGTGCAGGCGCAATAACCACAAAAAGTAAGAGTGTTTTCCATAAAGTATTGACTGGATTCTGAAGTCAATAGTGGAGTCCCATGGGATTGCGCTTACACTTGCATTACCAGTGGTGAAACAGTAATTCATAATTAGTAGAAGTTGGAAAGCGAAATCATTTTTAAAGTTGTGCACGATGCTAAATGATTACCAGAATGAATAACGAACGTAAGAGACAATCAGCCAGTAGCAGGCAGTGCAGGGCAATAACACAAAAGTAAAGTGTTTTCCCTAAAATATTGACTGGATCTGAAGTCAATATCCCAGTGGGATGGTACACGTGCATTACCAACGGTAAAGACAGTAATTCATAATTAGTAGAAGATGAGAAAGGAACGATATTTTAAGGGAATCAGTTAAGAAAGATACTGACGATGCTAAAGATTAGCCAGAAATGATACGAACGTAGAGACAATCAGCAGTGCAGGGCAATAACACAAAAGTAAAGTGTTTTCCCTAAAATATTGACTGGATCTGAAGTCAATGTCCCAGTGGGATGGTACACTTGCATTACCAGTGGTGAAAACTAATTCATAATTAGTAGAAGATGAGAAAGGAATGGTATGTTAAGGAAATCGCTGAATAAAGACGCTGAAGATGCTAAAGATTAGACAGAAATGATACAAATGTAGAGGACTGGTCTTCATTTGATGCTACAATTCAATTGGGATCTTGGCCTTTTCAAGTATGTCTTTCATTCCTTCCTGTCTCGTGCTTACCTCTTCCAATTCTTAACCCCAGTGTTACGGGAATGTCAGTGTAATGTTTCGGTTCTGAAGCACATCATCTTTCCATCTCATGTGTGTCTTTCCTTTATTACAAGTTCTTAAAGGCTTCCAGTTCATGACTTGTGTGATACTTCTATTAAAGTCCATCATTTCTAAACGTCCTAAACGAAACGAGGTGGGTCAAGAAAACCTGAAAGCACATGCTAAGAATGTCATACAAACAATCAAAGAAGCACGCAACACGGCAATGCCGAAGAAACACCCGCATCCGAACATGAAACCAGTGTACTGGTGGACTGCTGAAATCTGAGAGCTTAGGAAAACGTGTCTTATTACGAGAAGAAACGCAAGATCGAGAGAGTTCCCTTCGCTAAAAGAGAGTACATTTAGTGCAAGGACCACCTGAAAGATGTCAAAAGGCGATGCTGGTTTTCCCTAATAGAAGAGGTAGATTTCGACCCCTGGGGGAAACCTTCCCAATTGGTAACAAGGAAACTTGGCCTCAAGACGCATACTCCCGGACTCGATGATCCCTGCTGCATACAACAAATAATAAGAAGTCTATTTTCCACTGAGAGGTAAGCACCCAAGGACCATTACACCTTCACCATAGAGGAACTACAAAGAGTAGGGGGTCTCCCTTAAGAATAATAAAACGCCTAGCAGAGACCGTATTCCGAATGAAGCCATGAAAACCATAATAAAGTTTTACTCAGGTCTTTTGTTGAGTTTCTACAGCAAATGCCTAGAAAACAAAGCCTTTTTTGGAGACTGGAAGATCCAAAAATTAATTCTTATCACAAATGGGAACAAGCCCCTGAATGATCCCTCTTTATATAGACCCATATGTCTGCTTGATACAATGAGGACAATTCTAGAAGGATTACTTATAGAAACAATCCAAACACAACTGGAAACAAGCAGGCTACTTTCCGACAGGCAGTTTGGCTTCCGAAACGGCAGATCCACCATATGAATGGGTTGTGGAAACTGCCGAAAAGATAGAACAAGAAAAAGGTAAAATTACCTGCCAATTTCTCTTTTGTCAGGTTTCTCAGAAATATTAGGGAGGCTTTTCTATTCGCGAATGGAAAAACGAAGAATTTTCAGACTCAATACGGTTTTAGAAAATCAAAATCTACGGAAACTGCCATTTTTCCTTTTCTTAAAGACGTTCTTTCATCAATGGACCAAAATGAAGGACCCATTGGAATATTTTTAGAGCTTTCTAAAGCTTTTGGATTTATTGACAACACCCTACTATCAAAATTCTTTCATATGGAATTCGTGGTATAGTACGATTTCAGAAGTTTGAAATTGGGTTCGTAATAACAACGGTTAACGAAGGAAAAACTGTTTTAATGCATTTTTGCATTTCAAATCGGCAATCGCATGCTTTATTGAAAATGAACAATATGCAATTTGCTGATGTTGAAGTAACAAAATTTCGAGGTATCTCAATTCATTCAAACCTCAAATGGAATGTACATATAACAGAATTAAACACTCAATTATGTTCATAATATTAAGTATTCCAGATTTTTTCAAATTCTGTCAGGTTTCACGCAGCTGGCTTACGTGTATTCTGCAAATGTACATTCCCACCTGAGATATGGCATAATATTCTGGATTGCTGAGATTGCTCCTTGTTTTGCTTCTGGATATAAATGTAGCTTCACTACGCACAAGTTTTGTTGAACTCTCCTTTTGCTTGTAGTTGTAGGAGCAAAGTTGGGGGTGAATTGCTAGTTTGTTGGCAATACATAGGAATCAAATCTGGAGTTCGTTGCCAATACGTTTTCTCTAACTCGGGAACGAAAATGTCTAGTTTCTATAAATGTTCCTAATCTCTCACTTTTTTCAATTTTATTATGCTAAAAATGTTCTTTATTCGTCAACTATTTATAGTTGCAAAAAGGTTCTGGAACTCAAGAAAACGTGCACTGTTGATTTTCTCCCCCATTCGACACATGACTGTTTTTTGACTAAATAAATCAAAGTGACCGGAAGATGCTGTCAACAACGGTAGAGGCGCCGGCTGGCTCCCGGCGTCGAGGGCAGCGACCTGCTGGTGACCTTTTGTGGTTTAGCAGAAGGAAGCGGCGTACGTCGACAGATACAGGCGCAGTCTTTCATACCTCTCTGCGTGCTGTTGTGGGGCGACGATCCAGGAACCTACGGCCTCGGCAAAGAAGGAAGCAGGAAACAATGGTATGTGCAAAAGACAATTTTTGTTAACTTCATTCGGGAAAGATGATGATTAGAAATTCTGTAGGTTATGTAGATTGTAGTAGTAATAGAAACAATGCGCGTTGCGACTTTCGGCACTAAACTGTATCAAAATTCCGTTTCATAGAGTAAATTATATTTTTACCAGTCAAAAGTAGTTCTTCTAATTACTACCTTAATATGGAAATTCATAATTCCTAGTATGTGTCAAATCCATGACTAAAGTTAGAAAACATGTTAGTAGATCTGTGCATGATTGCCATAGGAAGAGCGACCGGGCAGTCCTCGACTTGGCGACATCAAAATTGCGAAGTTGAAGGGTGGAACAGGGCAACGAATCCACGCCCGATGGTGATTTTCTGCGCTGCACACACTGTTGCTCTTATGGGTGGTTTCTTCGATCAACACCAGGTAATGTCGGAGCCGTATCATAATGGGCCACGGACCGCGAGTAATCTCGCCTTTCTCTTCCTTGACCAATCCTCATACCTTCCATACACTAACATGCACTACACTACCACACATGCCAAGAGACCTGTCAGGAGCTAAGAACTTGTCCCGGCTGGGCGGTACCTCGCTGGTTGGGGAAAACCCTGCTAGCCGACAGTAGGTCGGCGCCGGATCTCGCCTTACGGCGGGGAAAAAGTAACCGTCACCTCCTGAGAAAAAAACATGTATTACACTAACGGAACTAATGCCCTGTTGACGTGCCCGGAATCACTAAACAAGCCATACGGGCTCCATCGCCAGCATGTTATAGCGGGCTGTACATTTGAAAACGGCGCGAAACCTTTTGTTAGATATCATTTAAAAAGGGACTGATTCCTAACAAAGGTACAACGATAAATCTGACTGTACTTCATGTGAAGTGTCTGGGAACTTTGACACAGCCGGAGTCACTAGAATTGCATGTGCATTAGACAAAATGTTTGAAGCAGTGTGCTTCTAAAAATATTTATTCATTGTGTATGGTGTTTTGTGTTTGTTTTCTTGTTTCGGGGAGGCATGGAAAGCCCGTATTGTTCATCATGGGAATGATGCGGCAGATGTGTAACACAAGTTTGGGGGATGTCAGAAGAGCCATGGGTACCCTTGTTAACTTAAGTCAATGTGTTGTTTTGTTGTCCCGAATGCAGTTTCTTTTAGATGAAAACGAGGGGCGACGCAAACAAGACTCCCACACATTGGTCCCCGATTTCCCATTTCTTTTGGAGAATCAAGAAAATGAATTTACATACTTCACCCAAGGGACGGTGTGACCCACGCAACCGACCTCAGAACGACACATCACAATATATATGTATATATGTATTGAAACGTCACGGCCTACGTCACACCAGTTAGCGCGAGAGCTGGAACAGCGGTGTGGAGACGAGGGGTGGGCAGTGAAGTGGGGAAGTGCGGCAAGGGGCATCAGGGGCGGCGCAGAGAGGGACAGTGGAGGGAGCGAAGGGGTCGGGCGGCTGGTCGCGAGGCGTTTGGGCCGACGCAGTTTAGAAAGTGAATGAGTGTTGTCCGGCAAGGACAGTTTGGTGAAGGAGTGGGACCACGGACCGCGAGCAATCTTTCCTTCCAATTCCTGGTGCCATCCTCAACCCTTACACACGTACATCATTACACTGTCCACATGCCGGGACACCAGTAGGGAGATTAGCGCTTGTCCCTATTGGGGTAATGCCTCGCTGGTGGGAGGTACCTGGTTTGGGGAAAACCCCGCGAGCCGACGGTAGGTCAGCGCCAGATCGCGCCATACGGTGAGAAGAGCTCACCGGCACCTCCCGCGAAAATACAAGCACTACACTTATTGAACTTACGACCTTACCAGTTGACGCGCCGGGAATCACTAATCAATCAGTAAATTTGAGTTCTTCATGGACCTTCGTCACCGGTGTCAACAATCCAAATAGCTCATGTAACCACACACACACACCGTCGTGGTCACCCCCGACTCACCTGATTACCTGATTTTTCTTCTCGGATTCAGCATTGCCCCGGCTGCTCCGTCGGTAGACTCCCTAGAGGGTGGCATGCGTGTTTGGGGGCTATCTACTACTTCCACTACTACATTCAAAACGAAACTTTGTTTTAAATTGAATTTAATGCGCCAAATTTGTGATTTAGGTGAAGCCTCAAACTAAAGTTCATCTTATAAACTACCTTCAAACTAATCTTAGCTTATACGGCCGGCACGGCCACACTTCATCCGTGCCCGCTGGGCATTGACCTTTCGGGCGGTTGTCCCCGGCTTGCGGGAAGGGTAGCCCCGCGTCCCAATGTCTGGAAGTGATGCGGTTGCAGGCGGCGCCTTCACCCCGGTCCTTTGCCCGTCAGCGCGGTGGCCGAGTGGTCAGCGGTGTCGTCTCGGGGATCCTGAGCCCCTCCTCTTGCGTTAGCGGCAGTCGTCGGCCGGCTGGCGTCTTCGCGGCGCGGCAGCGGGCGGGCGACAGTGCATCGGTCTGTGCGTTGGCAGCACGACCCGTGGTCGCGTTACTCGTGTCTCTCCGGGCTCGCGTTCAGGCACTTTCGGGCATGGCCCACTGCAACTGCTTCCAGCCATCGACCCCAGGGTCGATCTGAGATGTTTCGATTCGGCAAGCTGACTCCGCGGTCAGAAATGGAATGAACTGGCTGCTGGCTCCGAGGCCAGAATGTAGAGAGCTTGCTCCGCGGATCCGAACAGAATGCGGCAAGCTGGGCGGTCAGAAACGGAATGTATGAGTGCGTCGAGAGCTTGCCATGAAGACTGCGGATCACGTGACCCTCGCGTTCTTTCTCGCGATTGGTGGGCGCGCGTCACGCGGTTTCTCCGCCCTATCGCGGCGTTGATGACGAACGCCCGCGCCTTGCCAAATTCCGGGAAACTCCCATCGTCACTTGGGTCCCGGGAGAAAGGCGCGGCGGCGTGCGGTCGTTGCTCGGTTGGGGGCGGTAGGCAAAAGGGTAGGTTAGGTGAGGTTAGGCTTGGTTAGGTTTTATTATTT